TATTTTGTGTTCAAAGTTATTTTTCTAAAGTGTTAGAAATATACACAAAATATTATAAACAAATATTTATAAGATAAATATTTTACTATATATTTATTACTCCCAAAGTAGTATTATTATAGTTTTTACTATCCTATATTAAACTTGCTAGCACAAGTTTAATCTTGGACTCCGGAGCAAGTTCGTGTGGATACGTTGGAGGCTTCATACGTTTGGCGCTACGTTCATCTCCTCAAAACCATCCCCGACCGTTCCTCCGTTCTCCGTTTTCACCGTTAAGGTAAATTTCTTACTATAGCTAGTAATTTACGTAAGTTGTTCTTGGGTGGAATCGAGTTTTGGACTATAAATTTTTGTTTTCCGCTGCGTTATCCAAGCCTCGTTTCCCAACAGTGGTATCGGAGCCGGCTTACGAAGTTACTAGTTTAGTAGTTTTTACCGTTATTGTTTTTGTAGATTAGTCAATAAATTTTGGAGACAAAAATTTATCCCATTAAAAATTTAATTAGGTGGCCATATTTAGATACTGGACCTAATATAATTTTGTTCAGTAATTTTCGGAATTACTGTTTGGGGTATTTTTATATTATTCTTATTAAGTAGTTTATGCGTAGAATACTTGTTATTTGTGCCATAAATACTTAATATTTATGAAAATTATATTTTATATTTTCTGGGAAGTATTTGACATGTCAATATAACTCAGAAATTTTAAAATCGATTTTTGGAATTAATTTCCTATTTTTCTATTTTTAAATTCGTTTATTGAATAGAAAATGGGAAAACTTATTTTTGACGATCAAAAATTAATTTTAATTCATAATAAGTTGAGACCAGAGCTTTTAAGCTTGTATAACAATTTTCATAATTTTTAAACACGTAAAAGTATTTATTTTGTATTTTTGAAGTAATTGGATCGGTACTATTCACTAGTCCGATTTTAATTATTTTAAATTGCAAAATTAATATTTTAAATTCAAGAAAAATCATATTCTGGTTCTGGAACTTATTTTTGACTTGGAAAATAAATTTTGATATTTTGGAATTTCGAAATATATTTTCACAATATAATTTCGGTTTTCTATCTTTAAAAAATTGTTTTCAAAATTTAAAATTTTATTCATTCTGGAATTTTAGGATTTCCATATTAATAAAGTTTACTGGGAGTCTCCAACAATTGTTTGCTAATTTATAAAACATATATATATTTAATTCGAAATAAAAGCCCTTTTTCGAATTTAAATATATATAAATACGGTAAATATAAAATATTTTATTTTCTGGAATTTAGAAAATCAAATTTTTAACATTCTGGAAATTTAAAGTATTTTATGATTTTTAATTAAATTCCTTGCTAGTTTAATTAATTTATTGTTGATAGTTTATTCCGTAGAATAGAATAAACTAGGTCTGGGGCGAGCGCGGTTCGCCCGGTGTATGCTTTAATATGTATGATGTGATGCATGTGATGCTTGTATGTATTATTGCATGGTGGATGATTGTGGCTTAGTGATATTTGTTGTAATTTTAAATACGGCCTGCGTGTCGTGCCTCATCTCTATACTCTGGATGTAATTCTCTTCTTTACCTCAAATATTCTTTTCTCTCGAAAATTATAAGAAGATAAGAAGACGAAGTCCGTTCGTGATAGAGAATCCTAAGGAAGACGTGATGGGCCGGAGATAGAAGATCTCTTGATCAAGGCGCTATCGTTTGTTTTTCTTTAGGAGCCACAATCATTTCACGTTTACTTATTATGCATGTGATGTATGATTGAATGTATGCATGTATGTGATTTTCGCTAGTGCATACGCGCGGTGTATGCCATAGGCAAGACTGCGTTATAAATCCCTCATAATTTTAAGTCTGTGCCACCCCGACGCCCTGTCACTCGTCAAACCCAATTTAGATCGGTAACGGACTCACCCAAGTGAGACGCCCGGTTTACGTTGGTTAGGCGCGAAACCCGTAACTAGGGTACTGACTCGCCCCGGGTTAGTCTTAACTAAGTCTTGGTCATAAGGATGAGAGACTTAGGGCACTGCGGTAGGATCAATAAATAAAATCAGATCATCCAACCAGAGTTGTAAATTGTTACAATTGGAATTTATTCCTACCAGAAATAATTTAACTGTAGGGCAAGATGCAAAGCACAACTATAGTTAAAT